GCATTGCAGGGGCACAGTGGATTTCACTGCCATTCCATAAAGGCATTCATAAATTATTTTTAACAAAGCAAGTATTGTCCTCTTGAGGGGTCATGTGATTGTGTAGGAAATTCATGTCTTCATTGCCTCTGAAGGCTTTATTTTCAACGTTAATGCTTGAGAAGTATGATTTACTAATGGCCAGAATATATTATCAGACGTGTAAAATGGAGACATGCAAGGAAAGAATGAAGCTTTTTTTCTAGTAAGTCCTGAGAGGAATAATGACAGGAGTATAATTATAATTAATAAGGTCATATTATAATATCCTTAGCTATGCAGTTACTTTTTCCTTTTGTCAATGGCTGTCATGGGAAATGGACTGTACCAAGGGCAGGAAGCATGATGAGGAATAGCTGTTACATAAATTTCATGGTTGGAGCCTGGAATGAAGGTTATTCCTGAATCTGAACTCTTGTTCATCATCTGAAGAAATTCCCTCTGCCATTTTTGTGTGAAAGCTTCCCTAAAAGTGGTAATCAATTTAACTAGCTTAGCCTTGCCTGAGACTCCAGGTGCTCTGTCTCAGTGACGCCTTGGGCAAATAACCCTTCATTGTCAGAGATGTTTTGGAGCATTTTCCCAGAACAGACCAGGCTATGCTACGCTGATACAAAATGAAAATAATTGCACCAAGACCTCTGGGAACATGTCTTTCTCCTCTGTGTTTTTAAGCATAACATCCGTCTTCAAGAATGGGCTTTCTGGGTGTTAAATCAAATAGGTGAGGGCATAGGGAAACCACAGAACAGTAACAGAACTTGGGTGTCGTGAGACGTTTGTTGGCACATTTTGCGTTTTTCACTTCTTGATGTAACCCTGGCTGGCTCTTGCCTTGGTAAAGTGGGGTCCATCCCCACCAGAACTTCATAAACTTTGGTAAAATCCTTCTTGATAAAATTAACAGACACACACAGTAGTGGCACAGGGCGGTGGTGGAAAGCACAGACCTCCACAGACCTGCTGCAACATGCAGCCACACGCACCTGGGAAGCTGTTACAGCCTGCACCACATCTCCATAGGATTTCTTTCCTCTAATAGTTAAACAAAGAGGTGTATTTGCACACCTGTGTGGGTGTTTTCAGTAAGGATTTTGCTAGGTTTCCCCACACCTGCAGAGACAGAAATACGGCAAATTGGGCTAAGTACAAAAAGGGTGGGGGAATCATATGAGGTAATGGCCATATCTTCTTTTCGGTGTTGTTTTGTTTTCCAAAATAAAACTACTTTTTTTTATTAGTGTTATTTTCATTAGAAAAAAAAATCTATTTTTTTTTTGCTATATGATATTGACTTCTTAAACTGCTGTTGTGTTATATGCAAGAGCATGCACATGCAACTGCAAGTCTACTTCAGCGTACTCTGTGGAGATTCCTATCAACGAGAAAAGCATTAGAGCTGCCACTGCTTGGGTTTAGGGCATGGAGGGTCTTCTAGACCGGTGTTTTACTGGACAATACTCTCCTTGGAGGCCCAGGATGAGGGCTGGGGCCAGAGCAGAGTGCATGTCTGGCTGTGTATCAGATACCTGGAGTCCTGTCCTCTGCTGCTGGTGGGGCTGGAGTCAGGATGGAGCCACAGCTCAGCGCACTTTGGTATCTAGGAGCCCTGTCCTCTGCTGTAGGTCAGGACTAGGTTTATGCTGAAGCTAAGGGTAAGGGTCAGAGTTGGTTCTTTCCTTGGGCATGGCTGTATTCATGTTCACCAAAATCTTCCCAAAATCTTTCTGTTTTGTAACATGAAATGATGTCATAATGCATTAGACATTTAGCTCCATTGTAAAGTGGAGGGAGCTACAAACCATATACAAACATATCACAACATGTAAAAAATACATATTACATTCTGTAAGAAGTTTCCATAAATATTTTTTATTATTAATCCTTAAACTCATGGCAGAATTCTTGTGTATTTATGCACCTGTGTGCTAAATCTCAGTGGTGATATTGCTGGTTATCACTGAGCTCATAGAATGGGCATGTGCAAACCGGGGCTGAGCTTGAAGACAGGCAGCTAGAAGGAAATTGCAAAGGAACAGCTATGCTTTCTGTCTGCTGGCATAGGACAAGTAAATATTTCATATTATTTCTTGGTTTGTGTTGTATTTTTCTCTTAAGCCCTTATTGTGTTAAATGTATACAACCCTACTAAAATCTCTGTTGAGATCTTCATCAGCTAAAACCTATTAAAGCTGTCCCTTGAAAATTCTCAATTTTTGCCTATGTGATCAGGTTCTGCAAATACCCATCTAGCTGGCTGTCTCAAAGCATTGTAGCTGGTAGTCTTACTGTTACAGGTGCTAAACTTTATGTGTTAACTTTATATTTTTAGCACAGCTTAAATTATTCTGTTAAATGCTAGGGGAGATTTTCCTTAGCCTGGGATTATAACAGTTTCTAACTGAGTCGACTGAAAAAACAAATACCAAAAGCAGTGCTCTTAAAGCTCTGTGAACATGGTGAATCATTGAATATCTATTCTTGATAATTTCTCAATTTATGTGGTTTTCGTATTACAAAACAAGAACATCTGTTAAAGAAATTAATGGGAATACCTATTGTACCTTCAGTTAATTTCCTGATATTTCTTTGTAAAGACAAGACCTAAATTTGGTATGATGTGCGCTTATAGTCTAGACAAATATTTGCCAATGGATACATTTCTGTCAACTTCATGCTACCTGTTGTCCAACCCCCCCGCCATGGGCAGGGACACCTTCCACTAGACCAGGTTGCTCAAAGCCCCATCCAACCTGGCCTTGAACACTTCCAGGGATGGGGCATCCACAGCTTCTCTGAGCACCCTGTTCCAATGTCTCACCACTCTCATAAAAAAAAATTTCTTCCTTTTATCTAATCTAAACATACCCTCTTTCAGTTTAAATCCATTGCCCCCTATCCTGTCACTACAGGCCCTGGTAAAAAGTCTCTCCCCACCTTTCTTATAAGCCTTCTTTAAGTATTGAAAGGCCACAATAAGGTCTCTCTGTTCCAAAGGTCATAGTATTTTAGGCTTTTTAGTTGATTTTTAGTTCTCTGGACCAGTTCCAGATTTCCGTCAAGAATTTTCAATTGAGCATATGTGCAAAGCCATGGATTTCATTGGTATTTATAAGCTACCTTTACGTACAGCAAAAATTGTGAAATTACAGTTCTCATGACAAATATACAAGTAATAACTGTATATTACATGTGGTTACAGCACAGTTGTAAATTAATGGGATACAAAATAATTTTAGAATGTAAGTTTTACACTTAAAGCACAGAACAATGACAAATTGAATGTGAAGTCAAAAAAAAAAGTTTAGTTATGTGATTGAAGTCCTTATCCTGAAGACATTAACACTTGTTAAAGCTACATGGAAGCTCTTGCAAAGCAAATGAAAATCACACCCAGCTGATGAAACTTGTATTTAAAGGTTCATAGGTACATAGCATAGTTCTGTGTAACCCTTTCCCTAAAATATTGTGATAAATAATGGTTTTGTATGAATTGCTACAAACCTCTACCACTGAAGCTGCTTTGTTTCATTAATAAAAACATTTTAAAGTTAAGTAATTAAACCCGTAAATTTTCTTCCTGCAAAGTATATTCCTAGATAAAACCTATTTTTTCCTCTTCCTGAAGAATTCCTGAATTCATAGAAGAGGTTTATTATTATAATGAATGACTTGTTCTCCAAATAAGGAAATTATAAAGCATGAATTCTGCTCCTTGTTTCACATCTTCAAATGAGAGATTAAGTTATCAGTTAAGAATGCTTTTGTAAGATTTTGCATTAAGACTGTTGAATAGTTCACCTTTTCCTTTATAGACAGGAAAATCTGAATCAGTGCTTTTTCTGTTTAGGATATATTTGACAGTGACTGGTACACCTCTTGCAGTCTCATTGGAGGAGCTGATATTATTGTGATTAAATACTCTGTCAATGACAAGGCCTCATTTCAAGAACTAAAGGACAGTTATGCCCCAATGATAAAAAAAGCATTAAACCACCGTTCAGTTCCAGTAATAATTTCTGCTATTGGTGCAAGAAAAAACGGTATGTATCCAGTCTTCTGTGGTAATAGTTAAAATCTCACTTGGAAGTTACAGATGCTGTAATTCCAGTAGAAGCTGATTTTTTTTCCAAGTTGTTAACAGAAACAATTAGTCTGTCAGGATGACAGTAATATGTGCATGTATATGGTTCTGTAGACTGGTGTACTGGCAAGAACGTTATGCTTAATTACCCTGGCAATGAAAGGCATCCTATCCTGCTTTGACCTCTGCAATGACTCTTCTTGTGGAGCCATCACACATGGGGATTAAATCTAGTGCTTTGGAATAAGCAGCATACATTTGAGTGTATGAGATGAACCCTATGGTTATGAGTTCTCTCTGGTCATGTCTCAGGTATAAAATATCTCTAGTGTATGAGATTAAAACTAAGTCTATCAGCTTGCAACCACTGGGGACAGGGTGTGAAAAGCCTCAAAATTCTCTAGGATGTTGTTGGATAAATGGACTTACCAGCCTTTTGGGTACCACAAAGTGCCACGTGCTGCTGTGTCAGCAGAGCTGACCTGTCATGGCAGAGTAGCTATGGTATAGCTATAGTTTAGCTTACGCGTTCGCACAATGCCCTGTCCAGGCTGATCAGTAGTCTGCTATGAGAGCAATGCAAATTGATTTTACACGGAATATTTAGCTAGCATGAAATTGTTGATGTTGCTGTCTAATCAACATGAAAATCAAAGTTGCTCAACTGTGGAAGGACCACGTGGACTTACAAAGTGTTCAGCAGCTGACAATTGCAATGCTGGTGAGAACGCGTTCATGGTTTGGGTAGACATTAGAAACTTCTGTCTGTTAACATCAGGGAAATGAAGTTCAGAAGGAATAGCACAGATACCAATAGAACAAACATACAAACTTTATTCTGTATTTCCAAATGTTTTGCATTGTGCTTTTGTTGTTTTTCATATGGTCTTTTTAGTCATGGGGCCTGATTTTTAATTGTTTTTTTTTCTAAAGCAATGAATGCAAAACTTGAGCCTGTGAGTTGTCTTTTACTTTTGAAATTTGACTAAAACAAGTGTTTCTGAGCGTCCCTCCTGCTATGAGTAAGGGACTTGATGGATGTAGATGTAGACATTTATCTTATAATGTACAAAGAAATATTGAGCTACACAAAGTGTGTCTTCTGTGGCCATAATGCTCAGTTTTGCCAGGGTCTGCTTTTTGCTCAGTGATTGAGAAAGGACTGTTAAAGAACTCTATAACAATTAGATCTTTATTTTCTTCCCAATAGTAACTCACTGATAATGATTAAATGTCTTCATGCTCTGGTTTATACAGGGGTAATAAACCTGCCAGCCTAAAGGCAGGGTCTCACTAAACTAATGTTTGTCTTCCCCAACACCTTTTCTTGCACTTTTTATTTAAGCACATAATACCACCAATCTGAGTGACTCCACTACTGGCATTTTTCTTTTCCCCCTTTTTTTTCTGTCTTCCTCCCAAAATAATGTGACTGTGGGAGAAGTCAGGCTCTTCAGTTGCAGTTTCACTTTGGGATCTGCCAGAGCAGACTTCCGTGCAGACACAGAGCCCTTTTGTTTCTAGGAGGTATGTGTGAACACAGCAGTTTGCTCATACAAATTACTAAGATCTTAATCCTCTGTAGTAGCAAATGGTGCTGCCAAAAGAAATAAAAAAGAGCTGTGTTATTACACGTTATCCATATGTCTCAGCAGAGAAAATTAATGTAGAGCATGCACGGCACATTTGAATGCACATCCATGGCTGGCAAGTTCTTACTGGCATTAAGTGAAGTTGAGCCATGGCAGCTAACAGATTTTTATCAGTTAACCAGCATAATCTTCAAAAATGACCTATTTTGGCTTAAAAAAAAAATATGTAAAATATGTGTAATGAAATCTTATTCTGCAGTACTAACATGCCTGCAACAGCCAGGACTGCAGTGGAAATTTTTCCCTTCCATTACTGTGCACAGAGAGGCTGCAATGATTAAACAAGTTTAAGGGTGACATTAGCAAATGGTAACACCTGCGGCTAGTACAGCACCTGTGCTTATAAGGACACTGAGGTCCTAAGCCAAACCTGACTTCTGGAAGTCCTGCTTGATTTTTCCACCTTCACCAAACTGAATATATAATAATGGTAATGTAATGTAAGCTGAGCTTTGTATAGCAGCTGATATTTTGAACTGATTAATAATAAGTTCATTTTTTTTGCAGTAATTATAGATTTCTTACTATAAAATGACTATGTTTCCATTTCCCTTTCTGTTCTTTTGTAAGTAATACACTTTACATTTTTTTAGGAAGGTAAGTATTCTGGATTTTTTTACAAAAATGGGTTTTTTGCATGGCTTTGCACCACAGGAGTGCCTTGCACCTGCCCCCTGTGCACATCGGACAGGAGAAGCTGTGTCACCACCTCTGAGGGAGTGCAGCTGGCCAAGGAACTAGGAGCTACTTACCTTGAATTGCACACTCTTAATGACTTCTACATACAGAAGTACTTTGGAGGAGTGGTGAGTGAGAAACCCCTGGGTTGAAGGCAGGGTGGCACACATGGGAGGTGCATGACCGATGTCAGGGCTTTGGAGAGTGAGCAGAGGCAGACCACAAGCCCTCCCACTGAGGGTGAGTTCTCACTGATGCTAGATCTAGACTAGATAAAAGGAAGAGATTTTTTACCTTGAGGGTGGTGAAGCACTGGCACAGGTTGCCCAGAGAGGTGGTAGATGGCCCATCCCAGGAAGTGTTCAAGGCCAGGTTGGATGGGGCTCTGAGCAACCTGATCGAGTTGAAGGTGTCCCTGCTCACTGCAAGGTGGTTGGAACCAGATGATCTTTAAGGTCCCTTCTAACTCAAACCATTCTGTGATTCCAGGATGCTAGCTGAAATGGCAGTACCAAGGTTGCTCTAGTTTTAAATACCTTCTAGGAAGGTTTACGAAAGCCATACTACACACTGCAATAAATTCCCCCCTCCTATTCCTGTCCTTTTTTCTTGCTGGGATGGGATAATCAAAACCCAGCTGGACAAGGCATTCAACAACCCCATCCCACTTTGAAGATGAGTCCTGCTTTGAGCAGATGCCCTGAGTGGGTGACCTCAACAGGTCCCTTCCAACCTGAATTATTCCATTCTATCCTGATATTTTTTATTTTAGTTGCTTAAACTCTCACAGCTGTTGTAAAGTGAGACAGGTAAGATTGTTGAATTGCCTGATTTTGTAGCATATTCTTGTGGTTGCTCAGTTTGTAGTGATACAGTTTGCAACCCTGAGCAGAGCCTTAGGGCAGCCACAGCACAGCTGAACAAGGCAGAAGCTGGGAGACTTGTTAAAATGTCACACCTCTAATGAGCTTGTTCTTTTTCCACTCTCCTGAAGACAGGAAAGCCCACTGAGCAGTTTCTAAATACAGCCTTTCAGATTTATTTGTTTTCTCCACAAAATTATTTCACACTGATATTTCATTTTCAATTTTAGGAGGTGTTTTAAGGTTAGCCTTTTTTTTGAACCTTTTAATTACTTTCCCAGTGGCATTTGGGCTTGAACAAAAAAAATGCAGTTCTTTTGGCACAGTAATTTCACATGGTTTGTACTGTTGTTGTCTCTGGTGTATAAGTACAGTGTGTTTCCATGGGATTTGATAGTAGCTTGGAATATCTGGCACAACAGTTAGCCAATTTTCATTGGATCCATTCATGCCCAATTAAAATTGAGGAATCCACTCAACATCTGGTCCAGTCTGAGTATTTTTCTAGTTTTTAGAAAGCATTATATGTGCTACAGTAATACCTTGGGTGATAAAAGCATTTACGACATGCATTAACTCAAATTGATCCACCCTTTGTGCCTCTTTGTTCCTGTAAAAGGAACATTTCCCCTCAGGTACATTTTTATTGCAGTGATGATACCTGTAGTCTGTCCCAGTGAAACAAACCTGGCCCACAAAGATTACCCTGTAATGTGACTTCTTCAGAGGACATGGTAGCATTGTGTGGTGGTGGTTAATTGCAAGCTGAAGAGCTCATATATGGTTTTGTTATTTCCATCACTTGCACCTGACTGCTATGCATCAAGTCTTATTATTCTGTGTAATTCTGTAATTAGTATCTATGGAGGTTGGTAAATTGAATATCTTTGTGCCTGTCATTTCTGGGAAGATTAAATGCAAGAGAATTAAACACCATAATTTAAATAAATAGCCTTTTAAATTGTGTAATTCCAACCACATTTGGTACCTTCTGCTGGTAAGGGGGTGTTGGGACTCAGTGACCTGGATGACTGTTCATAGTGGCAGTAGCCTCTGTCCTGCATACAGCACCTGCTCATTCTCCCTAGTTTGATGCCTAGCATTTTTTAAAAAATACATTTTGTGTTTTAGCTGGAATATTTTATGATCCAAAGTTTGAATCAGAAGTCATCTGAAAAAATGAAGAAAAGGAAAAAGACACAGAAGTGTCATCGAGTTCAACCACCTCAGCTTGAACAGCCAGGTGCTCAGTGATGTCTGGTCTCTAGTACTGTTCATTATGTTGTCATGTTCTTTGCACAGTTAACATTTTGTAATCATTACTGTGAGCTGCGCTATCTATTGTCAGCTATTCTGGTTGTGTTGCCGTAGTTGCATAATCTTTTAGTGGTGGTTTAATTAATTTGGGGAGAATTGTATAGCAGTATGTAACATTGCAATGGACTTCTAATTCATTTTAGACAGAAATAATAGAGTGTTTTTCTGGTGCATTTGATGAAATAATGCAAACATGAATTAATAAAAGCTTTACATGAAAGCTGTACTGACAAATTATAGAAGAAAGTCATTACATAGTGCTTTATTATTCTACAATATCATCAAGTAATATTTTTATTTGCTGCAAATAAAACAAGGGAGAAATGTGTGCCTGTGCATGTGATTTTCTGCACATGATTTCTGAGCATCTGATGCATTTATTCAGTGAAATAATTACTGACAAGTAGTTACCTGTGAATATGTAGTTGTCTCTTCTCACCTGTACTAGAAATTCACTCAGATGCCTTAGGTTTGGGATTCACAGGCAAGGTTTCTTTCAAACGTAAGTGCCTAAAGACATCTTTTGTAAAAGGATGGACACTTTTTGCTAAACTAAGTATTTCTTATATTTCTTATTTTACTATACTAAGCATTTCCATTTTTAGAGTATTTTACTAAACATTCAAATTGCATATAAGAAATTTTCTTACCAAATACTTCTTTCAAAAGTTGTCCTTCATTTGACCAGGAGTCTGGGAGTAGAGTGGTTCTGTGGTTAATACTTGCTTCAATTCTACAGCCCAACTCATTATCTTTCACAGAAAAAATGCCGATCTTAAAGGGCGAAGCCTCGCACTACGATGCGGACCTGCACAACCTGCTCTGTTGCTGCCAGTGTGCGGATGTGGCATTTTACCCTGAAGACCTTAGCACAGTGGTAGAGGCTCACAAGATCATCCTCTGCTCTGTCAGCCACCTCTTCATGCTGCTTTTCGAGGTGAAGAGCCCTGCTGACATCCACGATGCCTCCATCGTGCGGACAGCTCAGAGCCTCTTTGCAGTGGAGGTGGGGGCTGCCTTGCCCCTTGTCTCCCGCGGTGTCCCACCCTGCGTCCCACCGGTGAGGGTGGTGGTGAAGGACTCCATCTTCTGCTCTTGTCTGCCAGTCATCCTCCACTTCATTTATTCAGGTACCCTAGGGAACCGGTCCGGCTACTCATTTCTCGTACAGCTGATGTCTCATGAAGGAGTACGTACATCACCCTAAGGAATGTGTTTTTCTGTTGGGAGATGATGTTCTGCCATGTTGTGACATCTCTTTTATCCTTTGCGATTATTACAAACAATGTCTGTATGAAAAAAAGCCCTTCACCTAGATTTAATAAAAATTAAATTAATTGTCATTCCAGATCTAATGAACATAAGTGAAGTGCAATATTTTACTGAACAAAGCCCATAAGCTAACATCAATAATATTCAAAAGTTTTGCCAAAAAAATCTGGAGCTTGAGACAGTTTCAGATTTCAGGCTTTTAAAATATTTTAAATGGTTCCATGTTCTAAACACATTGACAAGAGTGCAGGGTGTCACGAATGCAGGTTTGTGAATCCTGCTGATTACGTTAATTTATTGTGGATGAGTAACTTTACACAGTTTGATTTAGTAGCAGTTTAGAGTTTACTTGTAGCAAATCGCAGGATTTGATTGTAATATTTTAATAGCACTCAGTCATCAGTGATTAACAAAATGATTAGGCAAAATTGATCAAGACAGTGACTTAGTTACGGATTTGAAGATGGCAAGGTTCGCTTTATTACTACATGGAAGTGCATAAAGGGAAATTAAGTTACACTGGAATGTAATATTTATTTGGAATGATTGGAATGATTTACGGAGAGATCGTGGATGCAGGGGATAGGAAGGACCCTCCTGTTGAGTCACGAGGTTCAGAATAGACCC